GTATCTCAGCTGTAACGTGTAACTGAGTGATTCTGTGGAAAATTTCCCACCCAGTGGAGAGTGTTGTTTCCAGTCCAGAGTCGCGCGTATTCTGGTGCTGAATCCTTTGCAATCAGGGATGGATCCTCTGTTTCGTGATGTCACCTGATTACACTCTGTTGTTCTTTTACTGTCCCAACTGCTCCCTGCAGTCATGAACAATGGTGCAGTTTTCCATCAAAAAGCTGGAACAAAATGGGAGATTCAGGGAAAAAAGGGGTTCTACAATCATTCCAATGAAATAAATTGTAGTACATTTTACATTGCATTGACTACTTAACCCCGCCCCATGCCCCACCAAGCCCCTCCCATGTTTATATAACCCCACCCAACCCATTCTAAACCCCGCCTATATCTGACATAGCCCCTCCCCTTGCACTCCATAGCCCCACACTTCATTCTTGTCCAATGACGTTCATCCACGGCGCTGTCTCGTTCTCGGCGACTCCAGTCTAGCGGACTGAATTTATCTTGCCCGCCGGGTGTGTTTTTACACACAGGAGTGTCCGGGACGAAACCTGTGATCTGCGGATCAGGGGTGTCTTCGGGAGCGGGTTTGAAGGGGGAGGGAGCGTCCCTTGCGTTTTTCTGTGAGCCGCTCGGCCCAGGGGGCACTCTGCTGGCAGCGGCAATGACTGCACTTATACGGCGCCCTGCCTCTCAAGGCCTCGCTGTGTCCGTTCTTGGCCGCTGCGACCGAGGCGATCGAGTGTGAGTGAGGGGCGAGGTGAGGCAGCTCGAGGGGGGTGTGAGCTCATTAAAAACCCCTGGGGTCCTCGGGGTCTTTATTCATGAGGACCCTGGCTCAACCACAGCCACCGCCAACACCGTGCATCTTAAATACCGGCCCCTTCGCCCGTTACCCGCTTAGTTAGCTCGCCCGCACCCGGTGAGGCTATTTACAGGCAGCTGAGCCCCTGAGCGCCCCCTGGTGGCAGGTCCGGTGAAAGACCAGAGGAGATCGGGCCGGGCAGCCGTGGGCTCAATCGATCGGACGTCAGTTAGTTGTGGTCGGGGGGGGCTACAGCCGCCCCCCCCCCCCCCCCCCCCACGTCCGCTCGCTGCC